AGAAAAACATGAATAAAATTAAAACCATGCTATAATACCTTAAAAAAAACAAAACAAAACTCACTGCCATCGAGTTGGATCCAACTCGTAGCGACCCCTTGTTGGGTTTCTGAGACGGTATCTCTATGGAAGTAAATTGCCCACTCTTCCTTCTGAGGAGTGACTGGTGGATTTGAACTGCCAGCCTAGGTAGCAGTCAGATAGATGCCTTAAGCACTATGCCACCAGAGCTCTTTACAATACCTTAGATCTTACCAAACAAAAAACTTTTAAAAACAGTTACATGATTTGTATCTCTCCAGACATTTTTTTCTGTGCATAGATAAAGTGTGGTATTTTAAAAATAAAACGGGTTCTTCCGTTTATAAAGTGTTTTTTTTCACTTAATACTAGTAATATCTTGGACATCTTTAATAATGTGCCAGCTCTGTATCATTTTTTTTTTTTTTTGACGACTGCCCTCTGATGGTGCAGTAGTTCAGTGCTCTGCTGTTAACTGAAGTCAGCAGTTCAAACCCACCCATGGCTCCATGGGAGAAAATACTGGAGATCTGCTACCTTAGAGCTTTCAACCTAGGAAATAACTGTGGTGCGGTTCTACTCTGTCCTATCGTGTCACTGTGAGTTGGAATTGATTCAATGGCACACAACAAGTGTTCCATTGTCCAATTTGGACTTGTTATTATGAACAGTGTTGCAGTGAATATCCTTACTTGAGGTGGGAGAGGGAGGAAACAGTACCATTAGAGCCCTCCTACCTATTTGATGGCCTTCCCAGAGGCAGCTTCCTCCTGCCACCCCTCTTCCAGATTCCCAGGTGGTCTGTACTGTATGTTTGCCTGCCTCCATGATTTTTCCTCTTGTCTTACAACCTGCCCTGCCCTGGGAAAAGTACCTCCTACAATTTTCAAAAGGAAAATAAAACCAAAACCAAAACCACTGCCATCAAGTTGACTCCAACTCATAGCAAACCCTGTTGGCTTTCCAAGGCTGTAAATCTTTGTGGAAGTATATTTCCTCATCTTCCTCCTGTGGAGCAACTGGTAGATTTGAACCACTGATCTGGTTAACGGCCAAATGCCTTACCCACTACACCACCAGACCTCCTTGTAGAGAACATCCATCAATTACTGTTTATTAAGCCCTTATTGTGTGCCATCAAGAACTTAGTGTTTTACATGCATTATCTCATGTAATCTTCCCAAAAACCTATTAGGTAGGTTCCATTATCATTCTCATTTTATAGGTGAGAAAACCATGGTCCAAGGAATTAGGAATAACTTTCCCAAGGGCATATGGCTACTGGATGCAGAGCTATAATTCAATAGCAGTAAGAGTACCCTTCTCTGAGATGCCTTCTCTTTTCATCTCCATTTTCAGAGTAGTCTAATAGTAAGATCCCCATCAGTGGAGGTGCTCAAGTAGGCCTTGAGGGAATAAAAGTAAGGTAGGATCAGTCAGACTGATGGTCTCAGGGTCCACTTCCACTTGAAATGGCAGGATTCATTTTTTTCAATGTGTGCTTAACTTCTACCAGAGAAGATAACTTTTCTTCTATGTGAATAACCCTTTAATAGATGTTTAGATGGTGGAACAGTGTCTTTGCCTTCACAAGCTTCTCAATAATGTCATCATGCCCCCCTGTACACATCAAGAGAAATGGCTTATCACAACTCTAACATAGCGGAGGCTCTGAGCTGCAGGAAGAAGCTGACAGACTGCTTGACTGGTTATGATGACATCAGGCATCAAAAGCCCTGCTGCTCCTTCTCCTGAGGAACAGCAAAGGATTCCAGGACAGAAGGTGGCAGGAAGAGACAAAAGACCCTGATGGCCTTGGTCAAGGGCCAGGATGTCTGATCTCAAACCATCAGGTGAGGAGCACTCTAAAACCACCAGAATGGCTGGGACCTGGCAGCACATCTGGGCATAGACCTGGCAACAAGCAGAGGCTCCCCTACCTAAGTGTTGTGATAGGCATAATTCTAAGGTAACCCCCAAGATTCACTTCTCCTGATGTAAATGCCTTGTATAATCCCCTGCTCTTGATTGGGAGACAGAATCTATGAATCTGATGGAATATCATTCCTGAGATTAGGGTACTAATCAGGTGGCTTTGAGTTAATCAAAAGGAATATTATCCTTTGTGGGCCTGACCTAATTAGGTGAGGTATTTCATAGTGGGTGAACTAAAAAAAACTCATAGTGACCCCTTTGGGCTTCCAAGGCTGTAAATCTTCACAGAGGCAGACTGCCTCACCTTTCTTTCATCTGTGGAACAGCTGGTGGGTTCAAACCACTCACTTTTTGCTTAGCAGCCAAATGCCTTAATTATTATACCACTAGAGCTCCTTATAGGAGCTCTGGTAGCATAGTGCCTAAGGCACCTGGCTGTTAACCAGAAGGCTGGCGGTTCAAACCCACCAGCAACTCTTCGGAAGGAAGATGGGGCACTCTACTTCTGTAGTGATACTGCCTCGACAACCCAAGGAGGGGTCGCTATGAGTCGGGTCTGACTCGATGGCACATAACAACAACAACAACAGAGCTCCTTATAGAGGGTGAAATGTCAGAAATACTCTCCTGCTGGCTTGAAGAAATAAGCTGAAGTACTGTGAGAGGGCCTGTGGAGGAGGCCATGTATCAAGGATCTGAAGATGACCTTTAGGAGCTGTAGGTGGTTCTTGGCTGACCACTAGCAAGAGAAAATGGGGACTCAGTCCAGAACTGCAAGAAACTAATTTCTGCTAACAACTTGAATGAGCTTAGAAGAGAACCTCCTACCTCCAGACCTGGCTAATATCTTGATGTCAGCCTTGTTGAGACCCTGAGCAAAGAACCTAGACTTCTGACCTGCAGAAATTGGGAAATAATAAATGGATGTTGTTTTAATCTTCTAAGTTTGTGGAAAATTGTTATGCAGCAATAGAAAACTAGTACAGTGATGAAGGCTAAAAACTTCCCTCAAGGTAGCAGGGGGTTCAGCATTCACTGAGAGGTTGGCAAAGGCTACTTTTCAGTGGTGGTTAAGGGAAGGAAAACAATTTCTGGAATCAGAAAGGCTTAACTCTTTATTACCACTATCTATTAGCTATATGATTCTAGAGGGTTGCTGTGAGTCGAATCAACTCAACAGCAATGGGTTTTTGATTCTTGACCAAGTTTATCTTTTGAGTCTGTTCCTTCATCCATAAAATAGGAATGCTTATTTCAGGGTTATTAAGAGGCTTAAAATCATGCTGTTGAGTCCGATCCAACTCACAGCCACCCCTCCTTGGGTTTCCGAGGCAGTATCACTACGGAAATAGATTGCCCAGTCTTCCTTCCGAGCATTGGCTGGTGGGTTTGAACCACTGTCCTTCTGGTTAGCAGTCATGCCTTAGGCAGTACACTACCAGAGCTTAGATGGGATAATAAACATTTATGATAGTTGTTACTGTATTTTTTTTAAAAAAATATTCTAGTAGCCAATGTAAAGGCCTGTCTGGCAAAGTAGAGAGACCCTGACATGAGAGACCAGTTGTGCTCAGTTGCAGTTGACCCCAGTGCTTTCGTAATATGGGAGCCCTGACCTTATCCTAAGGAGCCCTGGTGGCACAGTGGTTAATTTCTCAGCTGCTAACCAAAAGGTCTACAGATTGCACCCATCTGGCTGTCTGAGGAAAAAGATGCAGCAATCTGCTTCTGCAAAGATTACAGGCTTGGAAATCCTATGGGGCAATTCTCTGACCTATAGGGTTGCTATGAGTCAGATTCGACTTGATGGCAATGGGTTTGGGTTTTGGACCTCATCCTGAGCTTCTAGTCTTGGAGATTTGAGGAATATTAATTGAACTACTAAGTGTTCAAAGCTTCTGTAGAAGTCCTTTGGTTAGGGTGGTGGGAGGGGGTAAGGGCAGGGGCTTTGAAAGCTTTTTTAATGCCTTTCCCAGCCAGGTTCATACACCCATAAAGCCACACTGCTGCGGATGAAAAAAAGGGCAGCTGCTAACACCCTGGGGAGAGGGCAAGGAGTGAAGAGGGCCTGAATGTCCATCCCCTTTCTTCAATGGTCTCAGGGTTAGAGAATGAGTTATCAAGACTAAAGAGACCATTTCTTCAACTCTGCTTGACAGTGAGATAATTTAGGCCTAGAAAGGTGTCATCTTGCCCAGGGGCTCAAAGTCAGGATGTAGCTAGTTAGGCAGATTAGATGTTAAGACATTGGCACTTGATCAATCCCATTTGAGAGAGGTCTGCTATAGATCCAGGGCTCTTCTGCTGGGAGTAGGGATGGGCATTTGGCTAGAAACATCCAGGTGAAAATCCTCAGAACTGTGGATGTGGTATGTTGTTATGTGCCATCGACTCGGACTGACTCATAGTAACCCCTCCTTGGGTTTCTGAGGCAGTATCACTACGGAAGTAGATTGCCCCATCTTCCTTCCAAGGAGTGGCTGGTGGGTTTGAACCGCCAGCCTTCTGGTAAGCAGTCAAGTGCCTGTAAAGTGAAATGGCTGGAGTAATTTTTAAATGCTTGCCGGTTTGTGTGATAAGAATAATTCATTGTAAGGTCTCTTACATGCAAGCGGTTTTTTTAATTCATTCTGTTAGCCTCAAACTTTGGTGGTAAGCAAAGAAGTATTCTTATTATAATTTGTCATTGTTATTGTTACCGTTCCAATTTTAAGGAGATGGACTCTCCTGAGCCGAAGTCGAACCATAGATACTGCCCTCCTCTCGCCCCCCACTTGCTTCCACCATCGCTCGGTGGTGGCAGCTGTGTAAGGCACGCGGCCGGCGGCGATAGGGCCGAGCGGCGACCTGGTTTGTCCTTAATGTGCCGCCGTAGGCCGCCCTTGGCCTCGTGGTGCCCCTTCCCGCGGAGGCGCGAGCGCCGCGGTGGGCGGGCCTTCACGCTCCGCCCACCGTGCGTCTGTGCGTGAGTCCAGCCCCCGTGAGCTCGCAGGCGCTCGCGCGCTCACACCCGGCTTTGCTTCAGGCTTATCCTGCGTGCCGCCATCGCTGTCATGCTGGGCGCTGCTCTCCGCCGCTGCGCCGCAGCCGCCCGGGCCAGCCCTCGAGGCAGTCTGCACTCTGTTCCGGCCCCCGGCCCCGCCGCCGGTAAGGCCCCTGCCTGCCACTGCCTGCTCCTGCGTGTCCTTGCGGTGACCTGGGCCCCCGCCGTCACTCGAGAACGGGCTCCCCCCGCGGCCTAGCCCCTGCCCTGCGGGCTGGCGGCGGTACCCAGTGACCGTAGGGCAGCACTCGCAGCCGTCACGAGTTATGGAGCACTAGAGGACCTGACCTCGCGGCCTCCCTCAAAGCGACTTCCTTGGGCGGGCATCACAGACCGATCAGGTTCGGGCGGACCGAGGAGCGGGCGCAGCGCTCCTGGGCACCGCCGCTTCTTGGGCACCGCCGCTTCTTACGCACCCACCTGGTCCCTTCGGTTTTCATCCCGTGACCGTGTCCCGGCGCTGACCCCACGGTCACCTGGCCGGGAGTGGCTGTCGCTGGCCTGCAGCGCCTCGGCGAAGGTGACATTGAGCCACTGGGCGCGTCTTTCAGGGTGGGGGTGACCCCTCCAGAATCCGGGTACCGTCATCTCCAAGGTCTTCCGAGGATACGTTACGTTTGCGTGTTGAACATAATATACTTTTTTTTTCTTTTAAATCAGGCATTTCTTTCGGATAGCATTTTGTGTGTCAGCTTCACAGCCCGTTCTGTCAGTTTTAGGGACTGCTATGCCACTTTTTAATTTTTCCACTTTTGAAATGACTTTATCTATTTCCTGAGGTCTGGGAGAGAACCTGAACTGATAGGTCTTATGATAAGAATATTACAGTTGGAAAACTGAGTATCACAGATCCAGGGATACTGGTTTTACAAGCATGGGGAAGCTTCATTTTTGATTCAGATTAGAAAAGCCTGATTGTTGGTGTATAATTGTGCTAATTCTTGTTTAATGTTTTACTTTCTCCTTTTACGTGTTACAAGAGATTTTGTGTACAGAACTGTACATACAGTTACAATAACTGCACTTTGATCTTGGTTTATGACGATAGTATGCTACAATAAGGAAATTCAGCCCCTAAGTTTGCATATTTAAACACCTCAGAAACTGAAAGCTGATAACGTTGTTCCCTTGACTGTTTTGGGTGTTTTAGCTAGACTTCAGAACCTATAGAATATATCTTGCTTCATTCGATTTAGACTTTGCTGTTTGTAATTTATTGTAGAATGTTAGGGCTGGAGTACACTTTTGGCTATCTTGTTTTACCAAAGAGGAAACTGAGGTCTACCTTGGAAAACTGACCATTATTGGTGATGGAATCATTCATTTTCTCCTTCTTAGCCATAGTTAGATTTGGCCCATCCTGATGTTTGTCAAATTTTGTTTTTTCGTTCCTTCTCTCTTGAGAAGTATCAAATACTACTTAAATTTTTTCATATAGGTAGATTTTGGGGTAGATTTCCTACATTTTTGTGGTAGGTTGGGAAAATGTCAGAGGTTTTTTTTGCAAATTGTAGTTAAAGGGATTCCTCTTAATAAGTTTGAACACAGATTAATCTAGGTGTTATATTCCCAACCTAAATGTAATCCATAACCAAAAGCTTTAATTTCAATGTTTCTTCCATACAGCTTAATATTTGCCACAAGGAAGCAGTGTTGGTAATAAGTAGTATCAATCAGCTACTTTTCTGACATTACTTGTGTGTCCTTGGGCGTATTATTTAACCATCTTAAGCCTGGTTTGGGAGTTCTGGTAGCATAGTACCTAAGGCATCTGACTGCTAACCAGACTGGCGGTTTAAACCCACCAGCCACTGGGAAGGAAGATTGGGCAATCTTCTTCCGTAGAGATTTCCCAAGGAGGGGTCACTATGAGCTAGAATCAACTCATCTTCAAACTTGGCATAATATTTGGTAGTTGTGAGATTTAAATAAGATAAGTAACGTTAGGCACATAGAAAATGCCCAAGGCAATACATACTTGCTTTATGTTTCTTTTTGCATATTATAAAGGTTCTTTGGTGACACAGACGGTCTGCACTTGGTTAATAACCCAAAAGTTGCCTGTTTTGAACCCACGCAGCAGGAATTTGGAAAATCCAGGCCTAGAGAAATTACTTCTGTAAAGATTACAACTAAGCTGGTTCTGGAGCCTGTGGAGTCTCTGCAAATGAATACAGAAACAAATGCCTCATATTTGCATATTATAGATCCCTAGAGGACTGGAGAGATTTTTATGCAATTAAAAAGTCAAAAGGATTAAGGTTCTTGGAAGAGGATAAATGATAGTATGCTTGAAAAAGAGCTTAGAAGAATTGACCCTGTGGGGTCAAGCTTGCTCTACTTAGGTAGCAACCCAGACTCTGGTCTATGAGGAAGGCTCCAACTTGAAATTGTTTTCCAGTCACTGTTCAACTAGATGATTATGATGTTTTAAATAATGTTTAGGTTCTTCAGCCAATCATTAAAACCTGTGTAGCTGGCTTACCGCTGAAAGGGTAGGAGTTTTTAAGCCAAGCACCTCAATAACCTTATTTTGGAACCTGTTAATGTGCCCTTCACATTATTCATTCCTTCTCTCACTCCTAGAAATACCACCAACAAAATATATATTCTTTAGCTTTGTCCAAGCTGATTAGTTAACTAAATGGAAAGCCATCTGATTTAACTAAATTTGAAACCAAGAGATTAATGAGCCCCTTAATTTTTTGAAATACATTAGCTTTGTTTTTCTTTTAAAATGAGTGCTTGAATGAATGCCAAAAAGTAGTACTAGAAATAGTTTTTCAGATTGAGGGCCCAGCATGGTCATTTCCTCTAAATTGCCCTTATTTTTCACAGCTTCCTTTTTCCCACTCTGGAACCTTAGGTTGTAAAAAAGCACTGAGCAGTATTGTCCAAAATAGCTTGCCTTAGAAGCCTCAAAACTAGGTGGAAATGGGGCTGATGTGTTAGTGTTTAAATGCCTGTATAACCTGTTGTCGTTGAGTTATTTCCAAGTCTTGAGGACCTCGTGTGTGCCAGAGTAGAACTGTTCCATAGGCTTTTCTTGGGTCTAATTTTTACAGAAGCAGATCACCGGATCTGCCTTCAATGGTGCTGCTAGGTGAATTTGATCCGTTAACCTTTAGGTTAGTAGTTGAGCACAAATTACTTGTGCCACCCAGGGCCCTACTGCCTATATATTGTTGTTAGGTGCCGTTGAGTCTTTGACTCATAGTGACCCTATGACAGAATAGAACAACCCAATAAGGTTTTCTAGGTTTGGTCTTTATGGGAGCAGATCACCAACTCTCTCTACTGAGGAGACACTGGATGGGTTCAAACCACCACCCTTTGGGTTAGCAGTCAAGCTTTTAACCATTGTACCATCAGGGCTTCTTAAATGCCTGTGTAGTTTGCCTGAAAAACAAGATATTAAAAGCATATGGGACACTGGGGGAGAGATCCAACGGATCTACTATATCAGGACCATAGTACTGGGGGACATCAGACCCGATTGGCACAACAAAGTACGTAACAGCCTTGTTCCTCATCCTGCATTGATGAATAGCTACTGGGGTCTTAAAAGCTTTCAAGCGGCCATCTGTTGTTGTTAAGTGCCGTCGAATCGGACCCAACTATAGCGACCCTTCCTTGAGTTTCCGAGGCAGTGTCACTATGGAAGTAGCTTGCCCAGTTGGCCATCTAAGATGCAGCTAATGGTCTCCTATCATCGGAATTGAAGAAGAGTACAAAAAAATACAAGGACGTTTGGAAGCAGTCAGCCGTAGGACATGTTGGCCCTCAAGACTAGAAGAACAAGATGGTGCCTGGCTACCCAGAAAGGGTCAAATCTGGAGATCCTGGATAGAGTGGGAGAAAAAACGTGGAACAAAATCCAAAAACTCAATAATGACCAGAATTACTGGTCAGATGGAGTCTGGTGAGACCCCCCAATACTGTGGTCCTGGGATACATTCTGGACCTGGAATAAAACTCACTCCGAGGGGCTGGCTCTCAGTCCAATAGTAAACAGGATGTATATGCAGACGACCCAGACTGGTGGTTCAAACCCACCAGCCACTTGAAGGAAGATTGGGCAGTCTACTTCCAGGAAGTAGATGTGACACACCCACATACTCTATAAAAATGCATCCCTTGGAACAGTCGACCACGAGGCACCAGAGGTGCAACGTTCCCATGGAGGAAATGCAGGACACATGGGAGTACATAACTATGAGGGGTACGGAGGCTTGGGGGTGGTGGTGGGGGAGGTCACTGGGCAGGGAGGGGGGAGGAGACTGGATTAGGGTTGTTGTTGTTGTTATGTGCCGTCGAGTCAACCCCGACTCATAGCGACCCCTCCTTGGGTTTCCGAGGCAGTATCACTACGGAAGTAGATTGCCCCATCTTCCTTCCGAGGAGTGGCTGGTGGGTTTGAACCACCAGCCTTCTGGTTAGCAGTCGAGTGCCTGAGCCACTATGCTACCAGAGCTCCTACTATAGGATTAGGGGATGGTAAATGGGGAGTGAGACTAAATGCACACATAATGTTGAATTAAAACAAGTTCTTAAAAAAAAAAAAAAAGCATGTGGGAGGGCATGTCCCTACAGATCCTGTTTTACCCATTCGTTACAAGAGTTAGAAATATCATTTATACCATGTAGGAGAGTCTGTTTTTCGTTGTCCTAAGAGGGATGTGTGCTCCCAGTGGATGTTTGATATTCTCAACAGTTGTTTTATAAAGGGTTTTTGGGAACACAACCGATTTGTAATTTAGGACTCCCAGAAGGGAGGTGATCAGATCATTGCAGATGATCTATTAATCTGCTTAATTTGGATCTACTTTGCTGGTCATTTTCACAGTTAGAAAATAAAACAAAGCTTCCACCCATTTAGTCAGAGGCATGCCCAGCAGTGAACAAAAGGAAGTGGTTACCATGAAACATTTACTTTCCTGGGTAGAATGAAAGATAAACTGTTGTCTTGGAAGAAGGAATGAGCTGAAAAATTGTTGAACTACTGATACCTAGATAATATACAAGATGGTTTACATACATAATCTCACTTAATCTTCATAGATTTCAAGGAGGTAGCATTATTTGTGGAAACTCTGGTAGCCTAGTGCCTGAGGCACTTGACTGCTAACCAGAACGCTGGCGGTTCAAACCCACCAGCCACTCCTCGGAAGGAAGATGGGGCAATCTACTTCTGTAGTGATACTGCTTTGGAAACCCAAGGAGGGGTCGCTATGAGTTGGGTCCGACTTGACGGCACATAACAACAATAACAACAGCATTGTTTATTTTTTAAATGAGGAAACTGGGTTTACCTTGCATAGAGTCACATAGCCAGTGAATGATGGAGCCAGAATTAAAACTCATGTTTGTTTGCCCCAAAGCTCCAGCTCTTTCCACTCTACCCATCTACCCCACAAGGAGGAAATTCAAGTTTAAATAATGTAAACATCAGTTCAAGAAACGTTTTCTGAGGGTTGACCAAGTTGAGATGTATTAAAGCACATTTAATTATCATGAAAATATTGACCTTAGAGGGTTGGTTGTTTGATATTTTGTTTATAGCTTTTGTAACGAAGGACTTTAATGTTACTGGTGACTCAGAACTACATTCTTCAAATGCAGTAGGTAGAGTAGTAGGCTCCTTTTTTTCCTTAGAATATCTGGTGTACTGCAGTTGATGTAAGTTGAGTGTGGAGATGATTTACAATATGAAAAAGTTTAAAGTAGTTATGCTTTGGTAACCTGATTTAAAGAATATCAGCAAAAGAGTGACAAAAAGTTAGGTTGTATGACTATTGATCCTAAGTTAGAACTACACTAATCTTGTATATAAACTTTTGAATGGAAAACCAATTTACTCTGTAAACTTTCACCCAAATCAATTAAAAAAAACCACACCAACCTGATCAAACAATGTAAGTACAATTTTTTTGGTTTTTTAATGCTAAACAACTATATACTATGGATGGAGTCCTTGGGTAGTGCTTACAGTTCGTGTGCTAGGCTATTAATGGAAAGGTTGGAGGTTTGAATCCATCTTGGAAGAAAGGCCTAGTGATCTACTTCTGAAAATTAAGCCATTGAAAACCCCATGGAACAAGTTTTCTCTAAGGGTACATAGGGTTGCCATAAATTGGAATCAACTCAAGGCAACCGGTATAATATAGTAAGGATTTTTTTTCCTTAAAACAAAATGCTAGTGAATTAGTTGGAAATAGACAAAAATCTTTCATTTTCAAACTAGATCGATGCTTTATTTGGTGGAACAGAGTTTCATTTTAAAAGGATAAGGATGATATAATTGGTCAGTTAGGTAGGGAGACAGTGAAGTTCATTAAAATTAAAAGTAAGCATCAGAGGTTGAACCTAATTTCTTTAGGCAGTTGCCTCCTTTGACATTATAAAGCAGGGGTACCCTGGTCTCATAATCATTTTTCAGGGCTCAAGTCTTCAAATTGTTCTTCATATAGAAGCATTAGGTTATTAGCTATTAGTCAAAACCTGCATAAAGAGAACCATTGGATCTGCATGATGCCCTATATCCTGAATGCGGCAGATGTATGTGCCAGATCAGCAGCATTTTTATCTTTGGGACTGAAATTCCTGCAGGCAACTCAGTTTATAAATACTGAATGGGGCCACTCCTGAATTCCAGGCAGGTGTTCCAGTGAATATGTTAAGAGTTTTTAATGTGCTGGTGGTATTCAAAGCTTTAGCATGTTTTATCAAAGTTACAACCAAGGTCTGGGTTGCTAATTAGGGAAGATCGCATGTGGACAAATTAAACCTCTGAAGTTACATGGTAATGTTATGTGAAAGGACGGTTATATAGCTATGACTTGATTTCTAAATAGCACAGTGAAGGGAAGGAAACATTAGCCAATAGCCATAAAACAAATTGTCAGTTTCCCAGTTGTGTCTATTTAATGTAAAACAAAATGGATCTGAAATTATTTCACATGAGAGAAATATGCTAGAATACTGTTCTAAGAAGTATTTCTGTGCAAATCTGTCATATAAAGGCCAGTTGTTTCTTTACTGTTTCTCAATGTGTTTTAAATCAACTTTCTTGAGATATCTACATACAATAAACTGTAATATTGTTAGTGTGTAAGTCTATAATTTGAGTTTTGGCAAAAGTTTACACCCATGTGACCATAATAACCCATTGCTTTTGAATCAGTTCCAACTCATAGGAACCATATAGGAAGAATAGAATTGCTCCATAGGGTTTCTAATGCTGTAATTTTTACAGAAGCAGACTTCTTCATCTTTCTCCCACTGGTAGGTTCCAGCTGGTGACCTTTTGTTTTGGTAGCAGCCAAACACTTAACCACTGCTACCCAAGGTTCTTATGTGACCACTACCATAAAAAAACATAAAAAATATTTTCATCAAACAAGTACTTGTTTTCTGCCTTCCACCCCAAGCAACCATTGATCTATTTTTTTGTCACTGTAAATTAGCTTGGATTTTCTAGGATTTCACATAAATGGAATCCTGCACTATGTAGTCTTGTGTCTGGCTTCTTTCAGTTAGTGGTTTTGAAATTCATCCATGTTGTTGGCTTGTATCAGTAGGTTTTTTGTTTTTCAGTTGCGGAGTAGTGTTTAATTTGTTTATCCATTCATCTGTTGATGGGCATTGGGTTGTTCCCATTTTTTTGCTATTATAAAGCTGCTATATACATATTTTTTGTGGACATGTTTTCATTTCCTGAAAGTGGAATTACTGGGTTATATGATAGATGTTAAGTTGATGAGAAACCACTGAACTATCTTTCAAAGTGGTTTACCATTTTATACTTGCACTTTAAGTTAGAAGAGCTTTAGTTTTTAAAAAAGTAAGTTTAAAGTCTTGAAAACTGGGTTAGAGAGTGGTTGTAATCATTGCTTTCTAGTATATTAAATGTGAAAATTAGTCTTGTAAGATGTATTATATGTGCATACAGTTTTGATTAAATATTTTCACTTATTAAATACATTTAGGTCTAGAGTCCCATTCTCTTTTCTTGTCATAGAAATTAAAACTTGGATTCCAGTCCATAACATGCACGTCCCACTGCATTTTGGGCTTGGGTTGTATGGATGATATAGGGTCTCTGGAAAGATTAGGACTTGTGCTGTGATCCTGAAGGATTAATGATAGGTATAGGAGCTCTGGTGGCGTAGTGCCTAAGGCATTTGACTGCTAACCAGAAGGCTGGCAGTTTAAACCCACCAGCCACTCCTCAGAAGGAAAACTGGGCAGTCTACTTCTGTACAGATAACGCCTCGGAAACCCAAGGAGGGGTCGTCACAATGAGGCGGAACCAACTTGATGGCAATGAGTTTGGTTTTGTGTATTTTGTTATAGCTTCATGGTAATTTAAGTATAATGTTGTTGTCGTTACGTGCTTTCGAGTCAAAGCGACCCCTCCTTGGGTTTCCCAGGCGGTATCACTTCGGAAGTAGATTGAACCACCAGCCTTCTGGTTAGCTGTCAAGTGCCTTCAGCACTATGCTACTAGAGCTCCTTGTATCTATAAATTATGATTCCCTAAATAGAAGATCAATTAAAATTTTTTAGATAAGGGTTAATTTATAGCTACCATATATTGTGTGCCTACCAGATGCTAAGCCCTGGGTAAAGTTTTACCTGCTTTTATATTTGATTCTCAATCTGCTGAGATACTGGTATTTCCATTTTACAGATGGGAAACAAATTGGAGTGAATTTTCCCAAGTTTAAACAATGGGAGAATAAAGAGAGAACTTGGAGGTATCTGAGCACTGACTAGGTTGTACTGCCTCCTAAGACCCAAAGGTAAAATTTCCTGTTCTCCCACCCCAATAGAGACTGTTTAGAAAGAATCCAGACTTCCCAGCTCCTAATTCAGTGTCCATTTGACAGGCAGAAATAAAAATGGAAGGGCTTTTCTTAAGGTACCATGAAGAGTATACTGATTGAGAGTAGAATGTTAAAGGCAAGAAAAAGCCAGTTTTCCTTAACAATGTTCTCTTCAAATTTCTGACTTCTTAGAACTCTGATGAAATAAATGTTTTTTCAATGAGAGTAGATCAGAGGACGTGTTCCCCCTTAGGGGGTTTAGCAGAATCTACTTCGGAAGAAAGGTTAGGCAATCTACTTCCATAGTGATACCTCCTCCGGACACCCAAGGAGGGTCAGTTGCTATGAGTCGGGTCTGACTCAGCGGCAAATAACAACTACAGCAACAACATGGGGAGGGGGCTATAGTTTGGTAAAGCACTATCCAAGATTAACATTGCTTTGCTGTGATAATGTAATTTATTTTGAAATATAATTGAAGAGTGTAAAATTTTTTAAAATTTATCAAGAAAGTATATATTGCAAATTTGTTTAAAACCTAAATTGGATATTATTTTAAATTAATATTTAATGTTTTACTTATTATAAAAAGTCAAGCATTGTAGAAATGTGTAAAGAAATAAAATTATTTTCTCTCGAAGATAACCACTGTTGATATTTAAAATAAAACAAAAACTTTTCCCATAGGGAACAGCTTTTAACAATTTTAAGCTAGCATTAGACACTAGGGAAAATAAACATAAATCTACATATAATACTTTGTTCTACTTGCTTTTCTTTGCTTAATTTTTTAAGCTATCTTTCTATATTAATACATAAGATTTATTTCATTTGACCTGCTGAATAATTTCCCTGCTATGATATAGTGGATTCAAAATTTAATGTGTTAAATAAAAAAATACTGTTTTGTACATTGAAATTAGTGTTTTTTCTCCATTTAGCTGTCCAGTCAGTTCGCTGCTACTCCCACGGGTCTCATGAGACAGATGAGGAGTTTGATGCTCGCTGGGTGACATACTTCAATAAGCCAAATATTGATGCTTGGGAATTGCGTAAAGGTAATTGGAACACAGGCATATTTGTCTATTTTGGTATAGAAATATCAACTGCTAAGTAGCTTTCCATTCCTTTGTCAAAAGCAACTATTTTGAAAGCATCATGTAAACTGGTTGTCATCATACAACTTACAGTTAAGAAACATTGTGGCTTCCCTATGAGTATTTCCTATACAGCAGAGTTTTAAAGCAGGCACTTTTAATCTTTTGGGCCAGATAATTTTTTGTTTGGTGAAGGGTAGACAGATCGGTGCATTGTAGGACATTTAGCAGCCTCTGACCTCTAGCCACTAGATCCCATTGGTATCCCCTGTTCCACTTGTGACAACAAGAAATGTCTCGAGACATTGCCAAATATTCCTTGGGAAACAGAATTGCCGTGGTTGAGAACCACTGCTATAATGATATGTCAAAGTGAACAAGAGTTAACAGTTTTGTATCTTGCAGAAAATTTATATAGTGGTCATTTGATTCTCTTCCCCTCTGGGTAATGGTGTTTTGATTTGTCATGCTCTGAATAAATGTCCAGTCTAAGTAAACTAGGAACATTATAAATGCCCTTATAAAATGGGTAAGTAGCATTAATGATAACTAGTCACTAATTCCAAGTGTAGGGTAATTCAGTCTCTGTGCCAATATTCTAGCATTTTGTTCACTGGTGTCCTTTGTTTAAATATTTTTAAATAAAAACAGGAATTCTAAGTGCTTCACACTTCTCTGCAGGAAATGTAATGACTCTGTTTCACTGCACCCAGAGAAATTCTTATTGAATGATCTTGAGTAGAAATAATGAAAAGAACAGCAATTCTGTGTTCCCATTAAGAGAATCTTAAATTTTATGATGTGTCATTTTGTGCAGAGCTGAAAGTAATCATGCCGAATCATTTTCTGGTTGAATGTTTCTGAATCTGTGCACTAATGTTTCTCTGTAATATCTCCTTAATGTCCTCATTTGGGCTTCATTAACTCTCCCTAAGATTTTCCCTAATGGTTTTGGATTCTCTTCCAGTTAAATCGATTTTAAAACAACTTAAGTACACACGTTGCACTGAGAGTTAAAGATGTGAGTTGAAAGTGGCCATCTTGTTTGAATAGAAATGAGCTAATTATTGTGAAACTAGTGTTTGCATTTAAGAGAGCTTTTTTCTCTTCAATTTGCATGCTGCTGCATGGGTTTCTTTCCAGTAATAAACTGATCTCGTCATCCAGATTTTGCTAAAGGCCTTTATAGATAAAAGAGGCTCCAACAGATAACATGGCCATGGTTCAGTAAAAATATGTATAACGAAATTGTAGTTTAAGTTGTGATATTCTTGATTGATGTGGCCCTTCTTTTTAATTCAACAGGAATGAACACACTTGTTGGCTATGATCTGGTTCCAGAACCTAAAATCATTGATGCTGCTTTGCGGGCATGCAGGCGGTTAAATGATTTTGCTAGTGCTGTTCGCATCCTAGAGGTTGTTAAGGTCAGTGATATAGCTATATTAAAGTTGTTCTCGAAGTGGGTGGGCTGTTGATAGGTATCACCATATTCTGTGGTTTTACATTTGTTAAAATTCCTAAAATTAGTTCTCATATAGCTAGAGGAATGAGCCCTGGTGGTGTAATGGTTAAGTGATTGGCTCCTCAGAGAAACGTTGGTAGTTTAAACCTACCCAGCAGCTCCTTGGGAGAAAGACTTACTCTGTCACATGGGGTCACTATGAGTCAGAATCTACTCCATGACACCAACCAACAACTATATAGCTAGAGAAAATGTACATTGGAGTTCCAATCTTATTGGAGGGTGGTTTGATGGCATTATCAAAGGCCTTTAAAAATTGTTCATGATACCATTTTGCTCAGCAATTTCGTTGGCGAATTTATCTTAAGGAAATAATTAAGGATGTACAGTGGTTTCACTACAAGGTTATTAATCTTTCTGCTACATGAGATAGGAAGAAATTAAATGGGGTGGTTTCTTAAGGTGGAACATCCCGAACAGTTTATTACTATACAACTATTAATGTAGAAACGTATTTGACATTGAGAATATTCATAGTATATTAATTGGAGAAAGTTACATTTTTTTGTGGTATGACCTCATTTTATTTTAAAAGATAAATATATATGAAACTGTGGGAGAATATATACCGATTCCCCTCTCCTTTGCTTGATTATAATTTCTGACTTTTCTGTAATGAATAAATAAATTGCATTTTGTATTTTATTTTTTACAAATTCAATTAAGGAAACCTAGAATTTGCTAAAGGCAGAATAATAGCTTGGCACTTTCTTAGTCCATTTACCTTTTTAATGATTACCCCTGAAGAACCTTGACATGTTCTAATAAGTTTTCTTCATGTTCTAATAACCTTTCTTCAAAACTCTCATACCCTAAAAATAAGTAGTCTGCAAGTATACCTCCCCGTGAAAAGATATGGCATAGTGAAAGAAACTCAAGATCTGTAAGGGGGCAAATGTGTTATTACTGTGTATCTGCTTTATCTACAATGAGTTAGACAATTAAGGGTTCTGTAGGCTATCAATCCATTCAGCACTGGTGGTTAATTCAGTTAAGGTCTCAAATTAGAGACAAATTAAAAAACTTTTCCTGTGTTAACTTAATTATTCCTGTAGCCTGCAAGGCACATTTAATAACCTTCACAAAATTCTGTCATCGCCACCTTCTTTTCCAGCAGCTCAAGGCTTTAAAATGTTTTTTCTAGATTCAGTCTAATCATCTTATAATTTCTTATTCACAAAGTGTATTAAAAAACTACTTTGGTTGTGCCTAAATAAGTTGCCCTCTTTATTGAATAAATGTGTTAACTTAAAAGTAGGTGACCTGTATTAATTCTATGCTACTAGCCTCTCTATGTGTGATTAAAAACATTTTAATGTTCATTCTGTAATGGAGATGGCTTTTCAGAGAGCTAAATGTATGAATATTATCTTTTTCATCAGGACAAAGCAGGACCTCATAAGGAAATCTACCCCTATGTCATCCAGGAACTTAGACCAACTTTAAATGAATTGGGAATCTCCACTCCAGAGGAACTGGGCCTTGACAAAGTATAAACTCCCATGGGTAAGCAAGCTGTAGCGTCAACACACCGCTGAACAAATCAGGAAAGGAATTGAGGGGGAGAGGGCATTTCAGTGCTCTCAGACACAGAGTAGAAGACCTTTTTTAATGCCTTTGTTATAGTGGCCATGAGTGTGGTACCAGTGATGATAAATTTAAGGATATAGAATTGTTATTTCTACTTGTAATTGTCCTTTTATTGTATATAGGCAAGTAAATGCCTCTTTAATTTAAAAAAAAAAAGAATGGTATAGAGAATAAGATAATGAAACTGTATACCCACATTCAGATTTTCAGATGATACGTTGCCTACTTGCTTTAGTGTTTTTGTCCAAGAAATGACTCATTTCAGATAGAGTTGAAGCCTTCTGTGTAACCTTTCCTAATTTCAATTCCTTAACCTCCCCCAAGCCAAAGGTATGAGTGTTTTTATATTTCTATGTATTTTTAACAGCAAGGTAATACTAACCTGATGCTGTTGTTTTTAAATATCCAAGTTTGAGTTTAACAGTCATTATGCTATAATGAAAACTTAATCGATGCCTTATTCTCTGTGGAAAGACAAATTAGATAATAAAAACAGTTACAGGATTGTCTAGGGCAGGCAGTGAGTTTGGGATATAGAAAATTCTTTATAAGACAGACATACCTGACCAATAGCTCATATATTAAACACTTCTGTTGTAAATATAGCTCTTCCTATGTGCCACTGTTTTAAGTGCTCTATAAATACTAACTCATTTATTCCTTAAAACAGTCCTCTGAGTTAGTTATGATTATAATTATTCCCATTTTACTGATGAGGAAACTGAGGTACCTTGTGCCAGATCACATACCAAAAAACCCACTGCTGTTGAGTTGATTTTGACTCATTGTGACCCTATAGCATAGGGTAAAACTACCTCATAGGTTTCCAAAGCAGTCAATCTTTACAGAAGCAGATTGCCACATAGCTAGTGGCAAAACCTGCATTTGAACCTGGGCACTCTGGCTCCAGAGTCAGTTGCTCTTACTGCCTTGTGTTTCCTGTGTAGGCGTTTAGTTAATGAGGCTTAATAGAGGATTTGCTTTCGGCGGCTAAGGGAAAGTTTATTTATTTTTTTAAATATATTTATTTATTTACTTTTTTATTGTGATTTGGGTGAAAGTTTACAGAGCAAATTACTGTCCGTATAGCAGTTCACATACACCTTGTCTCAGACATTGACTACAGTTTACCACAATGCAACAGCTCAACTCCCACTTCCCTCCCATAGTTACCTCTTTTATTTTTTTTATTAGGATTTGGGTGAAGATTTACAGAGTAAATTCACTTTTTTTTTTTTTTTTAGGATTTGGGTGAAGATTTACAGAGTAAATTCACTTTTCATACAGCAGTTCACATATACTTTGTCTCATGTCACTGACCAAAATTTAC